ATATATAACAATTAATACTAGTCTAATAAGGAAAAGTCGCTTCCATAATCGAATAACCAAGTCTTACACCACGAGTTCAAAATACATCAGTTACCCAATTCTTACATCAGGATCCCAAAGATACATCAATTCCCAAAATATACAACAGCCAAAATGTCTAGTCAATTACATTTGAAACCCTAATATAAAAGTATATCCAAAGGGTTCCACCGAGTTTCACTCCATCCATTCCTGTTAAGGAAAACAAATCTACAGGATGAGCAATTGTTCGTGAGGCCAAGAAAACACACATGCAAGCACATTGTCCAAGTAACAATCCCAATATTCAAGTAGAACAATAATATTCAAGTAAATTACAATTCGAACGAGAAAAGTAAACAGAAACAATTCAAGAATATAGGAGCTCTGAGGAGCTATTTTTCACTTGTTTCACCACGGCTCGATCCGGTACCCTCTTGTGATGACACTCCGTCATCCGAGTGGGTATTATATCCGTTGAAACTTCACTTATTACTTCCACCGGCCAACATTCCACCCTCTCGGATCCGTAACCAAACACGCATGAAAAAGGTGATACTCGTCGAGTATGCCGAACGAGATTTCAAGAGATCAAATTTTAATTTTTAGAACACGCACGAAAAGGGCGATACTCCATGAGTATGCCGAACAAGATCTCAAAAGGTCAAATTGTGTTTTGTTATTTTCTTGGTTTATCAAGCTTCTCGATCAAGCCCATGCCGGTTCGATTTGCAAGAGTGGCTAAGAGAATTGGGCGTCCCTATAAGTCGAGGAGATTCAGTCCACCCGACAACACGACACGCACGGCATGTACAACATGTACGATAACATGCTATGCACACGAAAACGAGTATATTTTAGTCAACGAGATTCACTCAAATCGACTTTGAAAACCAAGTTAATGCAAGTAAAGTTCAAATAAAGGAGAGCGAGTACGATAAAGTACACACTCGTCTCATCAAGTGATATTCACGTATATAAGCAGGTAAATCAAGTAAGCGCGACAAGTCATGCACTTGATACTCACCAATTCAAAAGTAATTGAGCGAGTAAAGTCTTTAGTTGTCCCCTCAGGGATTCTCTTCAAGACTCGCTTGAGTATCTGAAACAATTAATAAGCATTTCCCACTCATAATCACGCATTAATCAAGAAAGGAGTTACACTCATCTAGACTAGTCAATACCTCAAACCGAGAACCTTAACCAATCAAAATAAAGGTTCAAAAGTGAGGTTTTATTAACACAAGAAAAACATATTTTTTTCATGAAATCGAGTTTAAAGCGACCAATTATCATCAAGAAAGAATAACGAGTTCTCAAATTTTCATTTTCTAAGAAATCGGCAAATTTCAGCTTTGCGCGTCAAATTTAGAAAAATCAGATCTTGCCCTCAGTAGGTCTAAAATTGAAAAACTTGGCACCTTTGGAAATTACATCCGAAGTACTAAAAGTTTTTAGAAGACACTTTTCCATGATTCAAATTGGAAGACATTCGAATTTTTGCTTCAAATTGCTGTTTTGGAATACCAAGACAGATTTGGGTTGATTTTCGGCAAAATTTGGAAATTCGGCGTAATTCACACAATGCGAACTAGCCTTTGAAATTTGGAACTTAATTAGAGTTACATTCAAAGTTTACAACACAACAAGCGGAACAAGAATCAGGATTTTGAGCACCAAGATATAGTGGCTCAAATTTGTTGAAAATTTGAGACAATTATGAAATTTCCAGGTTTAAAGTACCAACTTTGGGATTTTGTTCGAGTATCGAAATAGACTCAGAATGGCACCAAAATTAGCAATATTACACTACCATATAAGAGCTATTCCTCTGCCAAATTTCACAGGAAAATTCATTCGGAAAGTTGGTTAACAAAACCATCAAAGTTTCGAAATCTCCAAGGCAAAACTGCCTTGTACCACTAGTTTTCTTTTTCTCAAACCTTTGGCCAATAAAATGCTTATAACATGTCTCATTTATGCTAACCAGATCTAATAAGGATCCAAGATACATTTGGTAGGTGATTTAAACCAAGAATTTCGAAGAGCCAGTCTCAAATCAAAATTGGTTACAAATCTGTCCAACATGAGGGTTTTCTTCCACAAAGTCAGTTTCGAATTCTGGTCATAAATCACTCAATTCAACTCAAAATAGAGTGTGGTTGGTGGCGTTGAAAACTAGATTCTTAAAGCTACAATTTCTTAGAAGAAACATTTACCAAAATCTAATCGTGGCTAGCTCATATTTGGGCACCAATTCACTGCTCAAAACAGAGCTCCCAGTGTAGACGTGAAACAGGATAGTCATGTTTAAACGATTGGTACAGACTGCTCAGGTGGAATCAGAATGTGCATTTTATACTGTTGGAAAGCTAGGAATGTTTATTTTCCAGTGCCATAAACGACACTCGATTTCAACATCGGGGCAAAATGTTATAGCCAAAACAAGAACACTGCCAGAGCAGTTACGGAAAAATTTCTAGTTTTGCTGATTTCCGAAAACACAACATTTGGCCAACCAAATCACGTTATTTTTTTATGGAACTTTCTACACTACCCACACAACATATATACATCCTAACCAAGTCATTAGAACCACGAAAAATCACTCTAAATGTCACGGACAACACAGGGGCAAAAATGGAAAATTTTCACCTTCACTCCCCGTTGAGTTTCCACCAACAACACAACATTATTCCACTAAATTAAGCACTAAACCATTATTAATATCATCAAAAAATAACAAATCAGTCCATCCAACTATAGTGGGAGTTCATAGAGCCCACACAATATTTTCCAACATAAATAAGGCTACCCACATGCATGCATGAACTTATAAATGCTATACTACTTCCATAAGACAAGATTTGAGTAGTGGATCATCACTTACTTCCTTAGATGAACCAAGCAGAAATTTCGGTCCTCCTTAGCCGAAGAAAAACTGTGAAAGCAGCCCTCTTTCTTAGCTTAATGTGGTCTCCAAGTGATTAGTTAAATGTGGTTAACTTTTGGTGTGATTTGATGGAGATTTAGTGAAGAAATGGAGGAGAAATTGGAAGAGCTTTGGTGCTGTTTTTTCTTCCCTTTGGCTGGCTGGTATGGAGCATGAGAGAGAGAGGTTTGATCAAAAATTAAGCTTCCAAGAGAAGCTAAAATGTGTGGCCCAAAATCAAGCGAAAGTCAACTCTCTCCTCGCACGTACACGCCCGCATTTTGTGCTCGATTCCTCTTGAATTTGTTTCGCTAGTGCACTAAACCTCTAATGCACTTGTATTCATACTTATTATTATTCACTCTTAATGGTCTAAAAATAATGGTTTTAAATCCCTCAATTTAATCGCGCGCGTAAAAACGCGTACTTCCGATTTTTGCGCGATAAATTGAACCTTCACAGAAATTCTTATAACGATAATATAACTATGTTATTCTTGGTTTTGATGATCACAAAGTACTTTGAAATGTTTATCTAACTCTCTTCAAAAATAAGTGTTTTTTTTGCCTATCAAAGAATCATGTACGAATATGTCAAGAAATGAAAATCAACCAAAAGAAGAAGCAAAAACAGGACACTCATGTCGGACGTCCGAAGGAATCTGTCGAACGTCCGAAAGGATGAAGAACGTCAAGAAGGAAACTCTGTCGGACGCTCGTAAGGAAGCATCGGACGTCCTGAAGGATCGGACGCATGCTTCGGACGCACATCAATCTCATCGGACGTCCTAAAAATTTCACAAAGCTTTGATAACTCTCTGGACGACGTTCGGACACAGAAGCTCGGACGATAAAATCCCATCGGACGTCCGAACAACAACTTGACTGATTTTCGGACGATGGGATCGGACGATGACTAAGCTGTCGGACGTCCGACAGCCCCAACGGCTAGCTGACTCTTCATCTGCCTTCTATCCGTTGGAAGCATTAATGAAGCCCATTTTTGGTTCCCTTTAAATACAAACGATTCTGAATCAGACAACAACTTTTACACACTTTGTTTACAAGATCTCAAAAGATATTTTAGCTTGAAAATAGTCTCCAAGACAAGATTTGTTCTCCAAGTGGTGTGAATTTCTTGTGAGAATTTCTCTTGTGGTTGAAAGTTTTATTAGTGTAGCTTTGTTGAGGGTTATCTGAGTGATTGTAAAACTTCTTAGCTTGACTAAGTGAGGCTTAGGGCAAGGAGGAAGTGCTCCCTCCATTGTACATCTAGTTGATCATCTTTCATCAAAGAGAAGTTGCTCAACCTAGTGACTGGTCTTCAAGTTTGAGGAAAGCTTGGTAGACAATCGGTTTGATATTCTATCTTATTCTTTTTGTTTAATAAAATTCTCATTGCTTATCTATACTTGTTTTTCTAATCAACATTGCTCTCTTCTTCTAATCTACTTGGTTGATCATTACTAGAAAAGAAGGTAAATTTTTATTAAAGAAAAATTGCATAAATTTGATTAAGATTTTAATCAACCTAATTCACCCCCCTCTTAGGTTGTCTTTGGGCCTTACAAACTAACAAACATTTGAACACTTAAATATAAAAATACCTATTTTAAGACTAATGTACATGTCTCCAATTTTTCAAGCTCACTACCTGCCCAAAACGGTTATTGTTTCCAACCGTGCAATTGCTATTCTCACTTAACGAGTTTTCAAAAATTAAATTTTAAAACAAGTCAGTTTAAAAATATAACTAAGTTATAGATCCATATAATTAGGTCTAAAAAGGTTAGAAAATAATATTTGGGGCAAACAAGCAATTAAATAATTAAATGAGCTAGAATTAGGAGTTTAAAATAGATAAATTTTGTGAGTCTTCACATCCTCCCCTCCTTAAAAGAATTTCGTCCCCGAAATTCACACTTAGAATAATAGTTATCCCCTTAATAGTCACGCTTATCCGGTTAATGAATAACTTACACTCTGCAACCCATTTTTCACAATTTCTACTCATCCAATTGGTAGTCAAATTTTGATTCTATCTCATTAATCTAGAGTTTTGTAAAAGTGTGTGTCGTACTATGGTCACTTAGAACCTTAATTAAACAATAGGAAGCAAGAATCATACCTTCAATGACCTTAGCGAGATTGGAAACTTGTTGATAGCCTAATGCATAAACCCTAACTGGTGCTTTAGATCGACTTCCTCCAGCACTAGACTGCTTTGCGGCTGACTTTTCAAGCCTTTGAGTACTATCTCCTTCTTTCGGTATACTCGGACAGTTCGCGATCTGATGTTCGGTGCTGCCACAATACAAACACTTTCCTGATTTCTTCCAGCACTCATTCTCTGTATGATTAGACTTGCGACAATAACCACAAATAACTTGAGGAGCCACAGGCTGACCACTTGGAGGTGTCACCCTCGGTTGATCTCGTCCATTGTGGCCTTCTCTTGATTGAGTCTTTTTTTGTGTACTAAATGTCTCTACTCCTCCCGTTCCTTTTTTCTTTTTAGAAGGTGGGGCACCCTTATCTGCTTGTCCAAGAGGATGACTAGAAGTGCCCCTTTTCTTGGCATGAAAATCCTTAACTTGCAGTCTTGCACTTTCGACTCTTTGCGCCTTCTCTAGGGATTCGGTGAAAGTAGATATTTGGGCCGCTGCTAACCCCTCTTGAATCTCCACGTTAAGTCCCTGTACAAATTGCCTTATCTTTCTCCTCTCAGTGGCTACCAATTCTGGGGCGTACCTAGAAAGTTTAGTAAATTTTTCCTCATTCTCGGCCACACTAGACGCCCCCTGCTTCACTTTTATGAATTCATCCTCCCATTTCTCTTGAACCAAGGGCGGAAGAAACTTTTCATTAAATTTTCCTAAAAGGTTTTCCCAGGTCCAAGGAGTTTGTGCTCTTTCCCATTTTCCCCTTATCATATCCCACCAAGCACGTGCTGCACCCTCAAATTGAAAGATAGCAAAAGTCACTCGTCTCTCCTCCGCATAATCTAGGGCGGCGAAAATGTTAGCCATTCTTTCTAACCAATTCTCCGCTACCTCAGGATCAGGCTCATCAGTGAACTTAGGCGAGTTGAATTTAAGGAATCTCTCCAAAGCTCTATCTTCCCCTCTATCCTGGCCCCCGAGTTGGTTAAGTGGCTCTGCCCCCCGTCTCTCAGCTAATCGTTCTAGAATATCAGTCATCCTATTAATGACAGTAGCCATTTGGTTAACCTCTATATTCTCTTGTCCTTGGGTTGGTCCAGTTGCCGATCCTTATTCATCCCCTTGAGATTGGGCTTGCCTAGACCCTCGCCCACGATCTCGTCCACTCCTTCGTCCGTCCATAATTCTAGCGGTGCCTAGCGCAAGAAATAAAAGTGGTCACGCGAGAAATTTCTTAAAACAAGAGCCGATCTTGAAAATATCCGCGATAACATTAATTAACATGTATTTACACTTTAAGGTTCATAAAGTTAGCAAGTCATGGGGAAATTACAAAAATATAGCACGCAGGTGCGACAAAAACACTTTTAGTCACATACGACTAAAGTAGTCAAATGCCTCAAAAGTAAGCCACACAATTATACAAAAAAAAAATTACAATGGCCTTGACACTAGGATCATCCCAGCTAATTCTAACTACATCAGTCAAAATGATCTAATTTTTCTCGTTCATTTCCCATAACGGAGATCTCAAGTCCAATACAAGAATCTTCCGTACTCTGACCTTTGCCATCAGAACTTATCTCAAAATTACTTATGATTTCTATTTACATTATAATACACGAGACTATATCCCTTCCGAAATCACAAGCATTCCCTCAGGAAAAGTATTTAGTACTCAAGTACAAGAATTCAAAACTAAGAGAATTTGCAACTCAGGCCGTACGCTCCCAAGTGCTAATCAATAAAGTTTAAGATCCCTACCTGACGTACATATCTATCTACTTCAAGTAGCACGATAAAGGTTTTACGCTTACCACTTTTGTAGTTCACAACTTACGCATAAGAAGAACACTTAGTCCTTTATACATATTCACATAATTGGGACCATATCACCACTTGGCCCAAACTCATTCCTCGCAGAGACCACGCGAAACTGCTCTGATTTTTATCCCTACAAGTAGTCACTTAACTTTCAAACCAGTCCCACAGTCCGGCATTCTAAACTTTTAAACCTAGGATAAACTACAAAGATCTAAAACCTAAACTCTGATACCAACTGTGACGCTCCCACTTCTCCCAAGGGCGAACCCAATGGTATCCGCGGAACGCCTGCCTAACTCTCGTCAGAACTCGAGACAAATCGATTCAAGTTTAACAATATATAACAATTAATACTAGTCTAATAAGGAAAAGTCGCTTCCATAATCGAATATCTAAGTCTTACACCACGAGTTCAAAATACATCAGTTACCCAATTCTTACATCAGGATCTAAAAGATACATCAATTCCCAAAATATACAACAGCTAAAATGTCTAGTCGATTACATTTGAAACCCTAATACAAAAGTATATCCAAAGAATTCCATCGAGTTTCACTCCATCCATTCCTATTAAGGAAAATAAATCTACGGGGTGTGCAATTGCTCGTGAAGCCAAGAAAACACACATGCAAGCACGTTGTCCAAGTAACAATCTCAATATTCAAGTAGCACAATAATATTCAAATAAATTACAATTCGAGCGAGAAAAGTAAACAGAAACAATTCAAGGATATAGGAGCTCTCAGGAGCTATTTTCCACTTGCTTCGCCACGGTTCGATCCGATACCCTCTCGTGATGACACTCCGTCATCCGGGTGGGTATTATATCCGTTGAAACTTCACTTATTACTTCCTCCGGCCAACATTCCACCCTCTCGGATCCGTAACCAAACGCGCACGAAAAAGGCGATACTCGTCGAGTATGCCGAACGAGATCTCAAGAAATCAAGTTTTGATTTTTAGAACACGCACGAAAAGGGCGATACTCCACGAGTATGTCGAACAAGATCTCAAAAGATCAAGTTGTGTTTTGTTATTCTCTTGATTTATCAAGTTTCTCGACCAAGCCCATGCCGCCTCGAGTTGCAAGATTGGCTAAGAGAATTGGGCGTCCCCATAAGTCGAGGAGATCCAATCCACCCGACAACACGACACGCACGGCATGTACAACATGTACGATAACATGCTATGCACACGAAAACGAGTATATTTTAGTCAACGAGATTCACTCAAATCGACTTTGAAAACCAAGTTAATGCAAGTAAAGTTCAAATAAAGGAGAGCGAGTGCGATAAAGTGCACACTCGTCTCATCAAGTGATATTCACGTATATAAGCAGGTAAATCAAGTAAACACGACAAGTCATGCACTTGACACTCACCAATTCAAAAGTAATTGAGCGAGTAAAGTCTTTAGTTGTCCCCTCCGGGATTCTCTTCAAGACTCGCTTGAGTACCTGAAGCAATTAATAAGCATTTTTCACTCATAATCACGCATTAATCAAGAAAGGAGTTACACTCATCTAGACTAGTCAATACCTCAAATCGAGAACCTTAGCCACTCAAAATAAAGGTTCAAAAGTGAGGCTTTATTAACACAAGAAAAACTGATTTCCTTCATGAAATCAAGTTTAAAGCGACCAATTATCATCAAGAAAGAATAACGAGTTCTCAAAATTTCATTTTCTAAGAAATCGGCAAATTTCAGCTTTGCACGTCAAACTTAGAAAAATCAGATCTTGCCCTCAGTAGGTCCAAAATTGAAAAACTTGATACCGTTGGAAATTACTTCCGAAGTACTAAAAGTTCTTAGAAGACACTTTTCCATGATTCAAATTGGAAGACATTCGAATTTTGGCTTCAAATTGCTGTTTTGGAATACCAAGACAGATTTGGGTTGATTTTCGGCAAAATTTGGAAATTCGGCATAATTCACACAACGCGAACTAGCCTCTAAAATTTGGAACTTAATTAGAGTTACATTCAAAGTTTACAACACAACAAGAGGAACAAGAATCGGGGTTTTGAGCACCAAGATATAGTGGTTCAAAGTTGCTGAAAATTTGAGACAATTATGAAATTTCCAGATTTAAAGTACCAACTTTGGGATTTTGTTCGAGTATCGAAATGGACTCGGAATGGCACCAAATTAGCAGTATTACACTACCATATAAGGGCTATTTCTTTGTCAAATCTCATAGGAAAATTCATTCGGGAAGTTGGTTAACAAAACCATCAAAGTTTCGAAATCTCCAAAGCAAAGCTGCCTTGCACCACTAGTTTTCTTTTTCTCAAACTTTTGGCCAATAAAATGCTTAAAACATGTCTCATTTATGCTAACCAGGTCTAATAAGGATCCAAGATACATTGGGTAGGTGATTTAAACCAAGAATTTCGAAGAGCAAGTCTCAAATTAAAATTGGTTACAAATCTATCCAACATGAGGGATTTCTCCCACAAAGTCAGTTTCGAATTCTGGTCATAAATCACTCAATTCAACTCGGAATTGAGTGTGGTTAGTGGCGTTGAAAACCAGATTCTTAAAGCTACAATTCTTAGAAGAAACTTTTTCCAAAATCTGTCCACGGCTAGCTCATATTTGGGCACCAATTCACTGCTCAAAACAGAGCTCCCAGTGTAGATGTGAAACAGGACAGTCATGTTTAAACAATTGGTACGGACTGCTCAGGTGGAATCAGAATGTGCATTTTATACCGTTAGAAAGCTGGAAATGTCTAGTTTCCAGTGCCACAAACGGTACTCGATTTTGACATCGGGGTAAAATGTTATAGCCAAAACAAGAACACTGCCAGAGCAGTTATGGAAAAATTTCCAGTTTTGCTGATTTCCGAAACACAACATTTGGCCAACCAAATCACGTTATTTTTTTATGGAACTTTCTACACTACCCACACAACATATATACATCCTAACCAAGTCATTAGAACCACGAAAAATCACTCTAAAGGTCACGGACAACACAGGGGCAGAAATGGAAAATTTTCACCTTCACTCCCCTTTGAGTTTCCACCAACAACACAACATTATTCCACTAAATTAAGCACTAAACCAACATTAATATCATCAAAACATAACAAATCAGTCCATCCAACCATAGTGGGAGTTCATAGAGCCCACACAACATTTTCCAACATAAATAAGGCTACCCACATGCATGCATGAGCTTATAAATGTTATACTACTTCCATAAGAAAAGATTTGAGTAGTGGATCATCACTTACTTCCTTAGATGAACCAAGCAGAAATTTCGGTCCTCCTTAGCCCAAGAAAAACCGTGAAAGCAGCCCTCTTTCTTAGCTTAATGTGGTCTCCAACTGATTAGCTAAGTGTGGTTAAATTTTGGTGTGATTTGGTGGAGATTTAGTGAAGAAATAGAGGAGAAATTGGAAGAGCTTTGGTGCTGTTTTTTCTTCCCTTTGGCCGGCTGGTATGGAGCATGAGAGAGAGAGGTTTGATCAAAAATTAAGCTTCCAAGAGATGCTAAAATGTGTGGCCCAAAATCAAGCGAAAGTCAACTCTCTCCTCGCGCGTACACGCGCACGTTTTGTGCTCGATTCCTCTCGAGTTTGTTTCACTAGTGAACTAAATCTCTAATGCACTTGTATTCATACTTATTATTATTCACTCTTAATGGTCTAAAAATAATGGTTTTAAATCCCTCAATTTAATTGCGCGCGTAAAAACGTGTACTTCCGATTTTTGCGCGATAAATTGAACCTTCCGAGAAATTCTTATAACGATAATATAACTAACTAATATTTGAACACTTAAACATAAAAATACCTATTTTAAGACTAATGTACATGTCTCCAATTTTCCAAGCTCACTGCCTGCCCAAAACGGTTATTGTTTCCAACCGCGCAATCGCTATTCTCACTTAACGAGCTTCCAAAAATTAAATTTTGAAACAAGTCATTTTAAAAATATAACTAAGCTATTGATCCATGTAATTAGATCTAAAAAGGTTAGAAAATAATATTCGGGGCAAACAGGTAATTGAATAATTAAATGAGCTAGAATTAGGAGTTTAAAATAGATAAATTTTGTGAGTCTTCACAGGATTATTATTATTATTGCACAGGCATCGACACTTGTCATGGTTTATTTTATATACACACCAGAAAATTGGCAAAGTTGATTGAAAAATCTGGCCTGCACAAGTAAAACTGGAATGTTGTAGTAATTTGTGACTCAATGTGGATTAATTTATGAACT